ATGTCTTTTGCCTGGCCGTCGAGTAGGGACAGCAACACGATGCGCCTCTCGTTCGGTGGAAATAGGGGCACATAATCCTGAGCGCCACCAGCCCATCTTCGGAAGTTATCGCCAATGGAAAACTTTGACGGTTGTGGAAGGGCAGGGGTTGGCTTCGTGCGGACAAATCCACCTGCAATGACAGAGCTCAGCAAGGAAAGNGGGTTGATTGGTGCTTTCCAAGCTTTCCGTTTGTTCGGCGAAACTTGTAAGCGATTCACGGTATTGTGATCCGAACCTATCGCTATCAATGCGGAGTCCATTTTTATGTTTTTGACCCGTTGGCATTCCTCTGTTATGTTATGCAGAATGAGGTCCGGGGAATTTTCAATCTGCGACAGTATACGATTGCGCAGTTCTGCATCCGTGGCTGACTGTAATGCGCTGACGAATAGCAAACATTTGAACTGGTCCATTGAAAGGTCCTTTAGTTTTAACCGCTCAGCCTCCAGGTTGATTCTCCCTGCACATGTGACAAAATCTTCTGACTGTGTCTTCTTGACTTGGAGGCACTGATATCGTGTGTGAAATAATGAAGCACGAGCACTGAATATTTGGGTAAGGCACTTCACTGTTTCTGAAAACTGTACGTCCGTTGGTTTACTAGGTAAGATGTAGTTGGTATATCGTTGATGTTCAACGGGGCCAAGTTTGCGCATGAGCAGTCTTACTTTGTCAGTGTGTTCCCACAGAGCACAATCCACGGTGAATATATCCCCGAATCTTGCGTACCAACATTCGAACGTCAATTCTGCATCGGCGTCATATGTGAATTCTGTAATCGCATTGGCGAGGTTGTCACTCGTTAGACTTGCATTGATCGGTTTAAGCGATGGAGATTGTTCCATCTTTTTGGCCAGCGCTTCGATGAGGTTGTTTTGTGTGTGAAGCATTTGCATGAACATTTCCATTTGGTCTGACATGATTTTGTTTTGTCTTGAACGCGTGGGTTTTTTCCCGTCGCCAATTCTTACGTTCCCGGATCGCCTAGAACGAGGGGAAGAACAAAGACCGTCTGATCGTCGGATCCGTGTGTGTACGAATGAATGCGTCCGCACTAAACCACATGATAAGAGTGATAATCATAACAACTGTAGTATTCCTTTCAGGATACGGGCACGCACAATAGCTGGAATGAATTGAGTACGTCAAACTCACTGATTGATTGCTCGACAGGCACACACAGGGTGGAGCCAGAGAGAAGCCACAAGTCACAATGAGGAAACGTATATTCCAGATGTGTACAGTAAACACGCTCACGTGCAAGTTGGGTAGGATAGAGAACACAGTTTTTCAGTTAAACAAGTTCATCTTTTCAAGCCACGTTCATTCGCCATTAGGCTCTTGATCGTGCAATCTTCTGTGTGGCTCCGGTGCGTAAACTCTTGGAACTATATCTGGAAAAGAGGGAAGAAAGGTACATCACATTATTGCGGGAGTTTCAAGTCTGTGCGGGACGTTACACATCATAATAGGTCAAGGTCAATGACACTGTCTGTTGGCCTGCTGGCCATGGGCACCCGTAACGAATAGATTTTGCTCGCATGGGGGGGGAGGGGTGATGAATCCGTTTTGTAAAATTCCGTCAACTAAGTTTTCCATTACGAGAACATACGCGAATCTTACTGACAAATCGCATCTCCTAGTCTGCAGTAGTGTATCCTTAACGAAGTCTCTTTTGGGGAAAACCTGGAATCATGGTTGGATAATAGAAACAGTACAGCTGATTTGGTGATCGAAATAATGCGGAACCCTGAGCACCTTAATATTTCTGTGACATCTCTTGTCCCTCCGTGAACTGTAAACCGATCCAGTTATGCATAAATCCCTGTTGGACAAAAGAGAAACAAACATTGTAGGGAGTTCCCATAATAACATCTTGGCTCTGGGTTGCAGCTACGCAACCTAAGGCACTTTCGAACACTACATTCAGTTTATCCTCTTTCGTTCACCAATGCGTTCTACCCATTCTCTTTCCTATGCCCGCTGGAGTGTATACCGGCCTTTCAAAACATGAATTCAAAACCATTCGTGTTATGTCGCCAATTTGTTATGTTTTGAGCCGCGTATATCCGTTGCCTACTATTAGGTCACACAGCACCATATCGCAGGAGAACACCACAAGTGCAAATAACACAAGATATAGCACAGTAACGATAGTAGCACACGCGAGAACGAGAACAGCGGACTAACACTAAGTCCGTGAGCGGATGATAGTTCTAGGAACGGACGCCACCTAGGTGAAACACAGGATGCACAACCGGCTATCGATCACTCAGGCCTCCCCAAATACGCGAGAGAGAAGACACGGCTTTAGCAGCACGGGTTTTATTGGCGTTGAGCACAAGTCACTAGTCACGAGTCGTACGTCAAAAGTCAATTTACAAGTTCACTCTGTTGCTTATATGTGACTGAAAATAATATTGATCAATGCATGAAAAATAATGTACCAATGAAATGCACAGTTAGCAATGTTCAAACGGCCATAGGCTGCGGATCAGACGAACGGAGAGAGTGAATATTGCCGTATTGATCCGAGATGACCCAACTTGGGTTGAATGCGTTGTAAAAATGTTTGATTTTGCTCACTGCATCAGCAAGTGTGCGACCGGGCTTATCGTGGGACGAATGGCGTTGATCTTCGTCCCAACAATTACTCACATATCCGAGTCCTAAGCGGATTCATTAATCACATAACTTATTAGTGATCACATCAGATTCTGTATCAAATTTGCCAATACGCCTCAGGACGATGCTGTTTATCCATTGCATCCTGATCTATCCTCTTCTTATTACCACCTGCCTACACGCCCCTCCTCGTTGCGGCAGCTTTCGTTTCACATTGGCATTAAAAGGAATTCGCTTCTCCTTAATTTGGCCAGATTCCTAACCGATAAAGAACGGGTCCTTCGTTGTTGAAATACGCAGGAATCTGTACACATGAAAGAAACTTCAGCGGGACTCTTCAAATTGCGTGTTATATGAAATTGTGTATTTCATTCCGTTTGAAGACCAGTTTGCATGTTTAACTTCAATATCAGCACATCAGCCTATACAAGTAATGTAATTACAAATACATGGAGTACACTTGGATGTGCAAATCCGAATTCACTAGATGATTTGGAGGTTTTCCTGGATTAGAACCTAGAACAATAGCGAAATCGATGGCTGCAACCACTGAAGAAAGTCGTGTAGATCAGTCCGATCGCCGCGTTTCACCTCTGCTCTGAGAAAACGAACTCTTTCAGGGAGATACAACAGACACGGGATATGTGACGAGTTGAAGCTACGGATTTGGTCTATCCATTGTGACACAGTTCAACGGCGCTGAGCATTGGAAACAATCAATTGTTAGATAGGTTACGGTATTTTCCTTATTGTCTACGGGGTTGGAGCAAAGTGAGCAAGCTGCATTTGTTTGACGTCCCTTTAATGTTTGTTGGATAGCAACGTGCTTCGAGAAAATTGAATATGCATTCTCTGTGCTAGTTTGGAGCGTTTTGTAAACCTACCGAACTGACGGACACTCCAAATCGATTGCGATCGGATATTCTTTCGAATGTCTGGAATGTTTCGCAAAACAAACAATCCATGTCCTTCGGTAGACAACGCTTTTAGAATCTACGAAAGCACTGTAAATGTGCAGTTCGTTTTTCTTGTGTGCATTTGGTGCTATTGCTACGTATTATCAACGTAGTCTGACAATTTTGGTTTGCTAGGTCCGCGAGGGAAAAACAAACGTTTATGGCAATAACCTGAAGCAAGCTCATGATCTCAAAGGACAATGATATGCGCGCCTGACAGACTTTACAATGCAAATCACATAAATGCAGTACTGAATTTAATAAAATATTAAATTCTCATCAAATAGTGTGTGTCATGTAAGTGCATTGATTTCGAATTCATGCGATTAAGTGGGGATTATATCTCTTGCTGGTATGGTACTCTGCGGTCAGCTCCAGTCAATCTGATGAGCCTTCAGTGTTCCACTTGTACGAGTCACGTGTGATTTGTATCAGAGGTCTCCTGGAATAAAGCTATCTCTCATTTCGTGATCCTTACAGTGCATGTGGACTGTTTGCTCTCGGTACATAATGCCGTGATCACAACTGATTGCATTTGTCGCTGTGAGAACTATTTCACCCGCCTTATCTGGAAAATCGCCTTGCGCATCACAGACAATTGACTGGGATTCCCTTTAACAGCCCAGCTTAACTTTTCACACGGAAATCCAATCAATCTTATATCAGTAGGACCAGAAGCACCTGCCCATTTATCGTCCAATCTGACCGTGGAAAAGTTTGCTCAATTCACTTGCTATCACCTTCGCACATCCGACACCTCATCGAATGAACACACGAGCATCCATGAGTCATGATGAAGAAAGCATAGGGAAAAATCGTTACGAGATTAAAATAGACTTAAACAGGATTGCGTTCCGATTCTTCGATTCACATGATTGGGATAATAGGGTAGATCATCGAATGAATTACGAGTTAGCTAAAGTTTTAGCATTCACTGCTACATTCGAATGACTTCTCTCTGCTCGTCCGACTAAGCTCATAGGTTCAAAATACACGATGTTTGAAATCGACGGTGTATTTGATAACTTATTTAAACTTAGTTGCTTGTGTTTCGAGCGTGGCAAATTGTTTTTAAAGTATTTGATACTGATTAGGCTAGGTGGAAACGAAGTAAAAATCCATCTTCCAATTATTCGTGACCTCCTGGATCGAATGGCCAATGGACAAAACTGAACTACTTTTTCAGAGCGACTTTATTGAACTAAGTCGGCAAACGAATTTTTGTTTGATTGTCACAAATGTGGTCAAATTTAAGGTTCCTTGATAGGAATCTAGGATAGATATGTCATCTTGTTTCCTATTGACGGTACTCTAACTTCCCGCTACGGAAAATGTCGTGCAAGGTTCAGTTCAGTTCAGTTTTTACAACCATTAACCATGCACTTTCGTGCGCCGGTTTTGGTTGCTGTCTTTCGGTTACCCATCTGGATAAAAGAGCAAAATGTAGGTTGGAATGTCGAAGGAAATTCAAGCGGAAGGTGGGAAATTTATATAGAGTGGTGTTAGGAGAATAACGAGTGGATGCACGAGCGCCACCGTTTGTGACACCCAGCCATATCACTCAGTATAGCTAACCATCGGTGACCATCATCCCGAGGTCCCCAGCCAGGGAGCCTAACGGGACCTATGTGAGCCAGTCTTCTAGTTAGGGTTTTCATACCCTCATGCCAGGTCTTAGCTTGACCGCCCTTCGTTTATTTCCAATCGCTACCAGCCTTGGCAAACATTG